GCCGTAGTAAACTTTGCACATAATGTTAATTTAGTGGCCATTTTATAACAAAGTAAAAGAGACATCAAACATCGGGGTGCAACGTCGCAAGAGAGACTGGTAAGTCGTCAGCTTCTCAACAAATGCAGTGAAATCGTATAAAGTCGGGCCAACAACCGGGTCCATTCTTGAGCTAAAAACCTCCCGGTCTTGTTTTCCACCTTTTCATCGGGACTCGGGCCTTATGGGGATCACTTTTCCGTGTTTTTTGCATTTGTGCAAGATGCACGATTTCACCTTTCGCGGTTTCACAGTAAGTTTATTTTGGAGAGAGAAAAGGAGGCATGGGGGTGATCCCTACAATTCTAAGTGGCTAAGCGTAGCCACACGTGTAATTAATGCTTTGACAAGTCTGCAGACAGACGGCAGGCGAAACACCTTTTAAAATGCGTCTTTGGCGATCAAGCTAAGCTAACGTTGTATATGCTCCGTCCACACTCACAACAACGGCCTACAGACATAAATAAACCAGTGACTGTATTCGCCATGACACAGACAATCTCTCCGTTTGTAGTTGTTAACTTTTGTCTAGTTTCTGAACAGATATGTGGAGCTGTGAGCTCTGAGTGCTAACAGCTAACGTCTGATGTTATGGTTTTGTGGTTCGCATTGAAGATGACGTCACTGCAGTTTTACGCAGCGTCGCTCCGCCTTCCGAACAGCCGATCGCCCCGCCTAGACTGAGTTACTATAGTTACTACACCAGTTCCTAAACTGTAATGGAAACGCAGCATAAAGGGAGCCTGGCCTACCAAGGCCTAACCATACCGTACTAAGCCGTGCTAGGTCCTGCAGTGGAAAAGCGCAATTTTTGAGTCTCCTTACACACCGGGGACACATATTTATGTATAAAAGACATAAAAAAGTGCATTTTGCATAATAGGTGACCTTTAAGTGATAAGTATGGTCATTTTCTCACTTCTAAACAATCCAGGCCTCTATGAGTTCCATTTATATATGTTTTGTTTACTGATTAAATGTTTGTTTTTACTACATTCTGTTGTTTCACCTATTATTTCACCACCTTTTCCCTTCTGATGTACTTTTTATACTTCCAAGCTAACATATTCTTGATTGTTATAATAATCTTGTATGTGTTTGTGTGCATGTGTGCGTCATTTTGCTACTTACTAGGAGCTAATCTCCAGTCGTACGGTGCTCCTCGGACTGTCTCATTCCGCGTGTAGCCCACGTTGACCAAATGTTGCACCATAGTGTGAAAATAACCTGCAAAACCCAGAAGCAGCCCCCTCAGTGAATGCCAGATGCCAAATCAACTTGCCATCACTTGGTAAAAAGCAGCTGAGCTTCAAAGATATTTGATTAGGTACTGTAGGAATTAAGCACAATTGCTTGGTTACATTCATTTCATCTTTAGACAAACCCCAAACCAAGCATTAAATGTTTCTTACCAGCCAGTCTATTGTAGTCGAGAAACTCAATGGGATATGTTTGCCCAAATCCTGGCACCCGCACCTGCACCCCTGGTGAGTTGGAAGACCGCCGAGTCGTCTTGTTGTAAACAAGTCTGGGGCACAAAAATGGACATGGAGAGTTATGAAAATGTACTTGGGCAGAAACATTTCTCAAATGTGACTTTAATATCAGTCAGGACAATTATACTGGGCAATATTTTAGCTCTTTTTCAGATTTTCTTATTACAACCATAGACAACATAAAAAAATTGTAGCTGTAACACGCCAGGCACTCGCGGTGAGCAAGCTTAATGCAATTGCCATAGGCTAAATAGCTAGCGATAGGCTTTTAACCAACTACCATTAAATACATGCCGTCACCCCTGCTAAGCTAGTCCGCGCTAACATTTGGCATGTGCATTTAGTAATCTATTTGTCACTTGTAGCAACTGCCGTTTTCATGCACAAAGAAGCATTTGGCATTCACAAGCAAGAGTATTTGCTGACGTATTTTCTGTCGTAGAACAAACGTAAACAATATCCTAGTTAACCACGACCTTATTTCAGGTATTCTACAATCATAACATAAAGAAGGCTGACTTATTTCCAGATCTCAATTGAAATCACGACAAGCTGTTTAACGAATGGGATAAAACCATATCAAGGTACATTTGCAAGGAAGAAACCAAGGATTGATTCTGTACTTTCAAATAGCAAAAACAAGGGAGAGGTGCGCTCCCCTGCTTGAAGGACTTACTACGTATATATCAGCCCAATAAGAAGTTTTCTGCTGGTGCAAGCCGACTACAGGCTAGATGGAAGAAATTGAGGAATAATGTATCAGGAGGAGTACCCATTCGAGGCAGGTTAGGGATAAATAGACGTTAAAAACTACTGGAAAGTAACCGTGCGATCAACCTCTCTTACAATTATGGTTAAGTCATTACAGGAGTGAATTGCTGGAGAAATTACTATTAAGATGTGCTCAACTGATCTTGATTCACCGTGCAAGCTAGTACAACATTTTAAAGGTTTGGGCCAATGGCCTTTCTTCATATGCTCTTTTCAGGAAGGAAAACATGTTTGATATTAATTATTTCACCAGTTGATACACTTCAGAACACAGGGAGAAGTAAATTCTCAAAACTCCAAGGCTCTAAGAAATACAGCTGAGCAGTACGCCGCTCAATCTCAACCCAAAAAAATGCAGTCAAAATTAAGCCGTGTGTATATAGAAGTAGTTTTCCTTTTTATATCTTTGAGAGCTTTGGTAAGTTTTGAGAATTACTTTTCATCCCTGTGTCTGATGTGTATGCCACTTGCGTTCGAACTATTGAATAAGGGTCTTTTCTGGCTGTCTGACAGGAACTATTTAGTAATGGTCGTACCTGGTAGGAAATAAAAAAAAACACCGTTTTCCATCCATATCGTTTTTTTAGTGTTTGAAAATCAAACGATTGGTTCCTTTCTGAAAAATTGCCATATGAAAGTAAAGGCATGTTTGGCCCAACTCTTAAATTGTTGTATCTAAGGCTGTGCACGGTTGTGAAATCAAGATCATGTGAGCACCATCTTAATATCTTAATTTCCTCCAGCAAGGTCACTCCTGGTAATGGACCCTTAACCATAATTTTTAAGGAGGGTTGAGTCCAGCGGTTATCTTTTTTCCAGTAAGTTTTTAACATTGTGTTTTATCCCCCTAACTTGGCCTCGATGGGTACTCCTCCTGATGACATTATTCTCATTTCTCCATCTAGCTTGTAGTCTGCTTGCACCAGCAGACAAGCTTCTTATTGGACTGATATATACAGTAGTAGTCCTTCAGGCAGGGGCGCTACTGCCTCGCCTTGTTTTTGCTATTGAAAGAGTACAGATCTTAATCCTTGGTTTCTTCCCTGCCAAATGTACCTTGATGATGGTTTTATTTCCATTCCGTTAAACTGCTTTCTGTGATTTCAATTGGTAGATTCTGGGAAAATAGTCAGCCTTCTTTTGTTTATATTGGTAGATACCTGAAATAAGGTCTGTGGTGTTAACTTTAGGATATTTTTACGTTTTGTTCTACGACAAAAAAGTGTCAGCAATACTCTTGCTTGTGATATGTTCCAAATGTTCTTTGTGTCATGAAAACGGCAGTTGCTAAACAAGTGACTAAATTGATTATAATTGTCTCATGACCAATGTTAGCCGTACTAGCTAGCAGGTGCCGTGACGTCAGATGTATGTAATGGTAGTTGTTAAAAGGCTATTCGCTAGCTAATCTTACACTATGGCAATGCATTTAAGCTTGCTCACCGGCGGAGGCTGCCTGGCCGTGTTACAGCTACATTTTTTTTTATGGTGTGCTATGGTTGTAATAATATCTGAAAAGAGCTTAAAATATTGCCAGTATAATTGTCCTGGGACTGATATTAAAGTTACCATTTGAAGCAATGTTTCTGCCAAGTACACTTATTCTTGCTCTCATGTCTTTTTGTGCTCCAGACTTGTTTACAACAAGGAACGACTCGGCGGGTCTCCAATCACCAGGGGTGCAGTGCGGGTGCCAGGATTTGTGACAAACCAATATCCAATTAGTTTATCGACTTACAATGACTGGCTGGTAAGAAAAACATTTAATGCTTGTTTGGGGTTTGTCTAAAGATGAAATGAACATGAATGTAACAAGCAATTGTTCTTAATTCCTACAGTACTAATCATAATATATTTTGAGCTCAGCTGCTTTTTACCAATGATGGCAAGATTGATTTGGCATCTGGCATTCATGGGGTGCTGCGTCTGGGTTTTTGTAGGTTATTTTCACACTATGGTGCAACATTTGTTCAACGTGTACACGCGGAATGAGGACATCGAGGAGCACCGTCACGACTGGGAGATTAGCTTCCTAGTAAGTAGCAAAATTACACACACACATGATCACCAAACCACACAAGATTATTATTTACAATTCAAGAATGTCTTCGCTTGAAGTATAACAAGTACATCAGAAGGGAGAGGTGGTGAAATAATAGGTGAAACAACAGAATGTAGTTAAAAAAAGAACACTTTAATCAGTTCAAACAAAAATAAATGGGAACTCATAGAGGCACTGGATTGTTTGAAGTGAGAAAAATGACCATACCTTATCAATTAAAGGTTGCCTATTATGCAAATGGCACTTGTTCTTTTGTACATAAATATGTGTCCCCGGTGTATAAGGAACTCACAAACTGGCGCTTTTCCACTCGCAGGGCCCTAGCGCACGATTTAAGTATGGTTATGGTTAGGCCTTGGAGGGCAGGCTCCCACCTTTATGCTGCGTTTTCCATTACAGTTTAGGAACTGGGGTAGTAACTATAGCAACTCAGTGAAGGCTGGCGATCGGCTGTTCGGGCTGTGGAGCGCCGCTGCGTAAAACTGCCGTGACGTCATCTTCAATGCAAACCACAAAACTATAACATCAGCCGTTAGCTGTTAGCACTCAGAGCTCACAGCTCCACATATCTGTTCAGAAACTAGAAAAGTTAACAAGTACACACGGTGAAGAGGCACTGTCTGTGTCATGGCGGAGTTACAGTCGCTGGTTTTTATTCTATGTCTGTAGGCCCGTTGTTGTGAGTGTGGACGGAGCATATTACAACGTTATAGCTTAGCCTTGAATCGATCCGATTTCCATTCAGAAAACATCCGCATTTTAAAAGGTTTTTCAACTGCCGTCTTGTCTGCAGACCAGGTATTCAGTATTTGTTACTTCGGCATCATTTGAAACGTGTATTACAATTAAATCACCGGTAAAATATTGTTTCATTTTCTCTGTAGTTTGTAGCCCCACGTTGCAGCGTTCTCTCTGACCATTCAGCAGTCGAAGAGTTGTTTACGTCACTTTAGCATATTTCAGCCCGGTTGTTGGCCCAGGTAAGAACTCGATTTTTGGAGGGCCAGAACAAAAGGTGGAAAAGTAGCCCTGAGCCCGGAATACCCCTAGTGAAAAGGCACAAAAAACGTAAACACGTTCTACGTGCTAAAGTGGAAAGCGCCAAAGTGTCATTCAAATAAAACCTCTCTCTTTTCCTCCGTACCCCCACTAGGGATGTTAAGATTCACCGATTCGCAT